GTAGTCGCTCGTTTCATGAAGACAATGGCAGTTGTCACCAACATTTATATACAAATGTGCGTTATATACTTACGTCTGTATAGTTATAATTAATAAAAAGCAACACTTCTTGTTATTATTTTAAAAATTATTTTTTCTAAAATCCTTCGGGTGAAATCACACTAGTATTTATATATACAGTATCTTTAACCTACTGGTAAATTGAATTTGCAGGCTTTCAAGTTAATGCCATATATATTTCCTCAAAGAATTAATTGGGGAAGAAAGAATGCATTCTACTTCTTCTGAAACGGGGTGAGACAGTTCGAGATACGGTGACGATAGATGTAATATGATTTAGTTTATAAAAAGTTTCGATTTATTTTCTACAGATTTTTTTTTTTTTTTTTTTTTTTTTTTTTTTATAGGAAACAATGAAAAAAATAACAAAGACCTTAAGTTTTCTGAGAGTTTCTGAGTTTTTTGTTTCTCCAAGTATCTTTCGAAAACAGATGTTAACTCGCGGCCGATATCACGTAATCTAAGTGTTGCATAATTGCAACTTTACTGATAAGTGGCAAGAGACATACTTATATATATATATATATATATTAATAAATGTCAATTAATGGTATCGTTTCGTATCAGAAAACAGTAAAGCGTAACGAAGGCGGGGACAATTGTTAACTGCAATCAACAATTGATTGAATTATTAACCAAGCCGAGAAGTTAATAGCCCGAGAGCATTATAAATATTTAGGCATAGCATTTTTCGATAACAATTTTTATAGGACATTAAAGGGTTCCACGTAACTTGGGCCACAAATTGTTGGTATCTCAATTTTCTATTTGCTCCAATTTTTTTGCTTCAATTGCTTATAACATCATTAGTGTAAAAAAAAAAATAAATAAATAAATAAATTACTAAAAACATGCGGTTTACAAACTAACACGCGGTGTACATCCTTAATCCTTAGATATTCGAAATGTTTACAACGAAAGTGTACGTGTTAGTGTGTCGTACAATTAAGTAAAAAGTACTGTATTGTGTGTATGTATATATATATATATATATATATGTATATGTAAAATACATATATAAAATATAAAAATATGTATGCTTAAGTGTAACTCGGATAAGGTCAAATATACTTAAAGTTGTTGTGTTCGTATACTGTGTAAGTATGTAATCTGTATGCACGATACGCATGTACCTTATGAATTTCACAGTAGTTGGCAATGTATGCATTTTATATGCTATAAGCGGTTGATTTTATGTCGAGGTTCCAAAGGCGCCATACTTTCCGCCAAGGAATAACTTAACATATTATTTTATGGCAAAAATAGTTGCATATCCTCTATGTGCGACGAACACATTTTTATAAGGGTCGATAGAGACTAAATTTATATATGTACATTTATGAACTTATGCGTAAAGCAACAATATATGCGTTCCTTTTGCGTTACGTTATAATTTAATATTAAAGGCGTCCTCTTTCTTTTTATTTTGTTTTGTTTTGTAGTTTAACTTTAACTTTATTAGCATCGTATACATCGTTGGAATTAATTGGTATATGCGGTTTTTCTAATATCTGTGTGCTGTGTGCTGTGTGCTCGTCGTGTACCGAAACCAATAATATAAATTTTTTTTTTTTTTTTAATCGATAGTTAATTTAATTAGAACGTGTAACAGATATGTAATTATGTAACAGTGTTTATGATGTTTGTTTTGCGCTTTAATTGCATTTATTATGTTGTATCCTTAACGAATAGCAGCTTAATGATTTAAAGGTTAATCGAGGGCGTGGGGCAGGGTGGCAGGAGGGCAGGGGGGCAGGTGTGGGGGCGATGTCGTGAAAATGTTGTCTTAACTTCCATTCAATTTAAATTGAATGCCTCGCCGTTTTTTCTACATTATCACTGCATAATGCCAGACAATTTATATTACAGTGAAAATAAATGTTTATGCTCCGACATGATTCTATACCAGACCGCCGTGTTCGTTACCCTGCTGGGAGCAGAGTTCAATTAGACAACCATTAATGCACGAAGACAGTAAATAGAATAGAACGGAATGAATGCGTTTATTGTTCTATGTTGTCTATGCATCAACATCAGCACATTAAACTGCAAATGAACATATTGGGTTTTGCTTGTTGACGGAAATAAAGAAATCAGAATGAGAATGAGAATGTGGATGAGGATGAAAATTTATAATGGAGAGATGATGGATGCATGTTGAAATATACAATTTCAGTAAATAAATTTCGTTTTGCTTCCCTTTTCTTCTCCCTCAAGCACTGACCCAGACCAATTATCAATGAATCAGTGTATCTCAAACTTGCCACTTCATACCATTCTAGCTAAAATTCCCAGCTATTTTTCCAATAAGTAAAGCATTAAAATAATTTGTTAGCGATAAGTGCAATAAACGTTTCAGGTTGCGTTACCAATTAGCCGTATATGGCAATGTAATCCAATACAAAACAATACAAACCAATCTATTATTATCGATTGGAAAGTTATCGTCGCCTTAAGGGATGGAATCTTGGAAACCGAAGTGAATATCACCAGAAACTTTTCATTGAATAAAAGCATATCTACAGGAAATGATTATAAAGCTGAGCTTTTTCTAGATTACTCTCTGACCGTATATTACTAAAAGAGATGAATGAATGAATGAATACAATTAAAAAAAAAAAATAAATAAATAAATAAAAAATGATATTTGACCACAACTGCATTTTTTATACCTCACGCCCATTATCTTATTTATATAAGCTCATCAAGCATTTTATTTCATATCCAGTTGATCATACTGCTAAGAAAAACTGAAATCCTCCTGGAATAATAAGCAGAAAATGTAAAAAAAAAAAAAAAAGAAAATAATAAAAATAGTAAAAATTTGATCATTTATAAATTTGTGTGGGCGCGGCTGATTTTTAGTTTCCCCTCTAAAGTACATATGGAAGATTTCAACCTTCTACCTCTCATAATTTATGAATGCTAAGCAAACAAACATGAATGTTCGCTTGGAGACACAGATTTGTATTCAGTTTAGGCTTTACCGCGCGCGTGTCCTTTGATCAATTTGTTCTATTTTCAATACCGACCTGGCTGCAGGACCTTGCATTGCTTTGCCAACCTCGAAGTCCATAGCATTATTTACCATTAGACAGACGGACAGACAGACAGACAGACATGCTTAAATTGGTTTAGTATTTGATATTTGATCAAGAATATATGTATACTTTATGAGGTGGCTGGAGCTTGCTTCTGGGGGCTTCGACTAAACGTGCCTCTATCCACCGATTATATTCTCATTTATAAATTTTGTGGACAAATTAGCTAATAGAGGGGAAACGTCTGTATTTTTGTATTCCAATTTGTATAAGTTCCCTACTTTTCTACCTCCAAGCTGCAATGCTAAGAATTGGTAAGGAAGCTTCTTTATTGCCATGTTGCTCATCATCATCATTATTATCCTTTAATTGTTTTCTTAGACTTTCCACGTCTGGGTAATAATCAATTTCACTTCGGTCATTCATATCCTCTTCGTTTTCAGAAATATTTCCACATTCCCAAGGCATGTCAAACTTTATGAATGCATATTTGCATATTTCTTTAGAATTTGGTTTCTTCGAAAATCGATTAGTTTTGATGAAAACTCAAATCATCAAACGCGGGATTTTCGAAACATTACTTATGCGCCAAACGCATAACGCCATTATTTCACTATTATACACTATTTCTAAAAAAAATCTGCCATATATCCCACAAAATTTTCAAATGCAACATCGCACACAGATAACTTATATGACGACGACGGATGAGAAGTAGTTTTTTTTTTTTAATTACCTATAATAATTACAGTAAACTCGAAAATATCTCTCCAAGCAACACTCTATTAGACGAGTGTTTTCTTTCACACATGCTTTATTGTCTATGATTGTCAACACACCCTGAGGTTTTGTGTAAACATAAATTGGACTGGAAGTATTCTTTTAATATGGAGTTCTCGCTTGTCCTGAACGTGCCTCCATACTGTATGACATAATAACGTGACTCGGTGCTCTTCAATTGCACTATACGCTCTTATACTCACCTGTCAGCAGCGTTCCCGCCGACAATTTCAGATTTTTCTACGAACGCATACAAATACCACTCCACTCTTTCTTCCTTTACTTTTTGTAAATCTTCTTTATCGCCACCGGCGGACATCTTCTATATCGGTGGCAAAAAAAAAAAAAAAGAATAAATATTAATAATAATAATATGAAAAGAATGTATTGGCAACAATTTCATTCTCATAAATTCTACATAAATTCTACGTAATTTCTCCTTTGTTTTCATATACAATTTTTACAGCTGTTTGACGTAACGGATAAGTATTATTTTTTATAATATAAACTCTAGTTATGTCGGCGGCAATAGTTGCTCTCCATAATTAATATGAAATTGAACGATATCACTCAGGAAAAAAAAAAAAAAAATAATTGATTACTTGTGTGCTATAAATAAATATAATATCTAACATTTGCAAAATAATCAAATTATTTAGTGAAATTACGCGTTATAAACAGCAACACGTTTGTATACATTTAACGTAACGATGACTTGACTTTCTTGAAAGATGTTCAATTGATCGCTTATCAAGGGAATTGTAACGACCACAAATTGACGCTTAGCGCATCAATTTGCAAGTTTTATTTAAGCTTATCTTGTTAGCTAAACTAAATGGTACATGCAGGCTAGTTGAATATTAAAAATAAAAGAAAAAAAAAAAAACTTATCACAACTTAACCTCAAAAAAAGCAAATGATAGTGGGATAAAAAGAAAAAAGAAGAAAATGTTTTAAAAATTATTACGTAACAGATAAGTAAATTACATTTATTTTACTATACATTATATATATATAGTTGATATATTCGTAACATTAATTGCTTATAAAGTGAATTCGTTTAACTAAAAAAAAAATATATATATATTTTTGTTTTCTTTTCTTCTTTACTTTTTACAGTTTTTTTACTTATTCCGCTGTTATCAATTTCGAATTTGAAACTATGCCAAAGGAATCGATTCATAAGCTATGTTAACATCTTTGGATAAAATAGAAATATTTCATAAAATTGCTAAAATTACCTAACCTCGTTTAATTCCGTTTCTGACGCTCTCCTCTCCACCCTCTTTACTTAATTGACCGCAGTAATAAGAAAAAACAAAAAAAAAAAAAACAAAAAAAAACAAAAAACAAAATAAGTAAAAAGAAAAATACAAAAACCATTAGAACATAAATTCATTGTTCGTGTGTTCAAAACAAAAAAAATAAAAAATAAAACAAAAACAGCAAGAAAAATCAACGTAAACTAAAAAAAAAAAAAAGCCATAAAAAGCTTCAATGCCAACGTTAATACAATTTATTATACACCGTCTTTACTGCAGCAACAACTACAAACAACAACAACAATAAAAAAATCCAGCGATATCAATAAAATTTTTCTTACTAAACCACCCAACGCCCTCCACTGTCCTTTCGTTTAATAAGCAAAAAAAAAAAAAAAAAATTAACGAATAATTAATTAAAAAAGCCAGATTTTTTTTTTCTCTAAATACAGCAATCAAAAAATAAATAATAATAAAATATTAAAAAAAAAAAAAACAAATAAGAATTACAACAAAAACTTGACTGATAGTCTACTAATTTTCTTACAACGTATTTTCTCATTAAACATTCAACAGAACTAAAACCAATAAATTTTTCAATTATTTTATTTTATTTATTTTATTTTTTTTTGTTTATTTATTTATTTATTTTTTTTTTCTCTATATAAAGCTGCTTCAGAGAAAATTAAAGGCCAAGCCGAGCGTCCCTTAAGTTTTTAAATTTAAACCTAAAACTATAAATCTTAAAAAAGTGATCTCCAATACAATTGAATTAAAGCTTAAAGAAACTCTTAACTCGAAATCTGTACGCTTTTCAATTTTCTCATTTGTTTTTCGTGTTTCTGAAAAATATCTTAGCCTTCACATGTTTTCCTACGTAACGCTTGCTCACTCGCTCTATATCCTTCCTTAATAATAATAGTAATAATAAAAAAAATAAATAATAAAAATAATAATAATATTTAAAAAAAAAAAAAAAAAAAACAAAAACAAAAAATTTAAAAAAAAAATAACGGCATTTAATTTAAATCTTTTTGATACCAAAAGAATACCAAATCTAAACCAAAAATCCACTACAAAACTACTTTTTTATTTTTTCTATAAATTTAATTCTATACTTGTTTCATAACAAGAAAAACAATGGGGAACAAATGTTGCAGTAAACGCCAGGACCAGGAGTTAGCACTTGCTTACCCCTCTGGATACAAAAAATCCGATTATACATTCGGTCAAACACATATTAACAATAGCGGCCAAAAACATAATAACGGTGGATCGTTGGATTCACGTTATACTCCAGATCCGAATCGTGGTCCATTAAAAATCGGAGCTAAAGGCGGTGTAGATATTATAAGACCGCGAACAACGCCGAGTAAGTAAATCAATTTATTATTAGCAAATTAAACCAAAAAAAAAAAAATTTTTTTTTTTTTTTTTTCCATTCATTTATTTTAAGTTAAACTTGAAGAAATATAAGAAATTTCTACAACATAAAGAAAGGATTAGAAGAAAGGTGCATCAAACAGTCTTCATTGGAAAGATTTACTATTTAATAATCAATAATACAATTTTTATCTATATATCTTATATATATATGTATCGAAATTCTTTTACCAATTCTTGAAAATTATACGTATGGACAGACAACGTTAGCTTAGTTAGTTAACCTTCACCTCTCTTATGGTTTTCATTAAGCAAAGTTTTTATTAAAAATTTTTCAAAACCGTGTTATTCGAGTAAATCGTATATTTTCGAATAAATATGAAAATATGACATAGACAAGGTATTTTGTTCTAACGTCTAAAGAGACGATCAAACGTGTTACTTATGTATTACTCGATTATTCGAGATTGTTCAAGCTTAATTTTATTGCAGGAACTATCAAGCAAAAATTAGGAAATTTTCTCAGCGAATACTCAATGCATTAATCTTCGAACGATCGTTCTAAAGCTCATCGTTTGCTTGTTTTCGCTCTTTTTAAAACCAACATTTCAAAATAAAATAACAACAACAAAAAATTGTGAAAATACTCTAGTGTAACGCGGCGCAACATTAAATGCCTTACATGATATCGTTTCGATATTTAAAATAGGACTTTATATGGGGACTGGTCAAGCAGGCGGTTCCGTCTTTCATCCATTTTCAGCAGCAATCGTTCGTGGGAGAAAATACGTCGGTGCACCGACATTTATCGACAGATGGACAGACAAGCTTAGATTGATTCGAAAAGTAACTCTGAATCGATCGGTATAATAATAGGTGGATCTGTTTCAAGTCATACTGGGTTTTACGTACATCCGTACAAAACTCCGTACACTCTTGTACTGCAAGTGGTGTAGGGTGTAAAAATATAAACACAAATACAAATGTAGATATGTACATACATATGTTCGCATTTAAACATACACTTTATAGATGTATATTTATATATATATATATGTGTGTATAACATGGTCGCATTTATAAACATGCAAACATATTTAAATCGTGCACTCATACACTCGTGCACTTGACATAATTAATATGTATTCCACTTACAATAGCAAATCTATTATAATTTACAGAAGAACAATGCATTGACTGGCAACACAGCAAGCGAGACGCCAGTTGTTCTCTGTTTTCTTATTAGTTAGATATGGCAATGAAATAATTTAAAAAATTATCGCAGGTATCGGGCATCATAATAGGGCTGTTAAGAAACTCAGAAATTTGACTAAATGAATTCAAATGAAAAACGGCTTAGTTTTGTAGCGCGGGAGTGGCCACAATTGTGCAGGACACTAATGAATGGAAATGGAAATGAAAAGCGCTTAGCATGGCTAAGGGGTTGTCAAAAATTTCCATTAGCGCATAAGACTAAAAGTGATATTTTCTTAGAATCGGGTTGTAAAGAAGAAGACATGCACACCTAATTCTCTTTTTACACGAAATTTTATTTAACACAAGTCGGAAAGCAAGGAAATCTCTGTTTAGCTGAATTCTTTTGTTCTAACACAATTTTTAAGAAAGACGCTACAACGGCTCATCATTACTTTCCATTAGTTCCATCATCAGATCAATCCATTTTTATACCTATCATCAAAGGATAAGGAGTATATTTATTTTGTCAAAACATCACATAGTATATATATATATATATATATTTGATCAGCATCAAATTCTAAATCGATTTAAGTATGTCCGTCTGTCCATCTGTGTAATGTCTGTTGTAAAAATTCTCCCGGACGCAAAATTGAAGCTATCGACTGCAAATTTAGCGCAAACAATGGATGTTCTTGCACGCAGGTTGGTATTGAAAATAGGCCAAATCGGTCGAAGTACACGCCCACAGCACCACGTAAAATGGAAACACCTCTGTTTTTCAAAGTAATGAAAAATTGGTTTGTCGCTTATTCCCCATAAACTAAAATGAATAAATGTACAAAAATTTGAACACATATTCTATGGGCGATGCTGTAGCATTCGTGCCGAATTAATTAACCACGCCTACTCAATTTTATAGTGCATCAAAATTTAATTGTTCAGTCAATGCTTTTATAACGCGCGGAAGCAAGCTTCCTAAACCCCATAAAGTAAACAAATTCTTAGCTAGTTTTAAATTTGGACTGCCCCTAAACATGTCCGCCTATTCATCTGTCCATCTGTCTGCTTACGCAACTGTATAGTAGTAGTTGTGGTAAACTTTCTCCCATTAGCGAAAATAAAGATATCGCCTACAAATTTGCAAAAGGATTTGAAAGTGACTTAAACTTTTCCAAAGACATGCATGCAACTTAGAATAGTATTATTTTGAAAATAGAAGAAATCAGCTGCGCGACTCCGTATTATAGAGCATGAAAAAGTTACTCTTTTATTTACTTCTTCTGTCTTTTTTAAAATAATTGTGATGGGTATAATAAAAGATTCGGTCCCGAACGAATTTAATTTTTTCACTTGTTTTTTTTTTTTTGTCCGAGTAAAACGGTATGTGGGAAATGGCCGTGGTTCGGTCCAATCCATTTTTGTCAGTGCTCAAAATTGAGCGTAGATTGGATGGGAACATAAAAATACTTAAAAAGGCCTCAGACAGTGAGATAGAGATTTGAGAAAATGATCCTGAATTGATCGGTATAATAAAAGGAAGATTTACATTCGCACAAACTTATCAAATCTTATGTGAAAAGTCGCATAGGATCATAGGCATTGATTTTCATTATTATGAGGCGAACTAAGAAACTGATACTTATGTGAAAGAAACGAAATCGTATCCTAAACGACTTTTGCAGAGCAATGTCGTTTTTTTTTTTCCCCTTCTTAACTCAGTAATCGCGTGCATATGAATTTACCAAAAAATTATTTCCCTAAACTTATAGCGCGGATGTGTGTTCAACATATTATTTTAAGGGAAAAGCGTTGGGGAAGCGATAAAAGAAACTGATAAAAGAAAAACAGCGAAAAATTTGAAATTGTGGAAACCTTACTAAGTGATAGAAATCATAAAAATATTTGTTGTATGAAGACTTAGAGCTTCCATTAATAGCGTCGCGATTGTAGCTGTAGCGCAATGCTTGCTGTTTTCTTTTTTTTTCTTTTTTTTTTATCATTGCAGTAGGAAAATAGGCATGCAGTACTGGTCAGTTGGTCAGGCAGATTAAGGAGACACTTAACCGTACATACGTAGTAATGTCTTGAAATAGTCTAACAAAAAATTATTATCGATGGCCTTGGTAGTGATTTTAACGTTACAAAAAAAAAAAAAAACCCAAGGAAAATACCGTTTGTACGAATGTACGAAACATTGAAATTCGATATATGAAAGCAAAGGCCTTAGAACGAATTATAGCGCAAGATTATTTCACGAATGTCTCTTGGCAGCGATTTCATTCATTCATTCAAAAGAAAATTGAAGAAAATAACTGAGTTCAATGCGATCCCATATATTCAGTGAATTGATTTTACGCCGCAGCTATGCTAAGTTTCCATAGTACTTGCGATGCATATAACTTGCATAGAAATGATCAATAATACCCGGAACTAAGTAATAATTTATTGATCAAGATGACTTCGTGAAAAGCCGCTTATTTTTTGATATAATGATTATCACTATCCTCAAAATTCGCTTTAGCTTCCGCCATATCCTCATTTTTTGATACAAATCTCTCTGTAGAGCGTATTCCTGACGTTTGCAGACAGATGATACAAGCCGATAGCGAAAAAAATTTGAAGAGTGCGATAGGCGTAGGAGGCATTTCGAACTTCATGCAAATATCTGCGGCGCGGTATTTTCACTCCATCTTACTGTACACCTTTGGAAAGCAACAGCATTCTTATGCATAGATTTTCATATCTTCAGAATATCAGTTATTCGGCGTAATGTCACTTTTCAATTATCGAGAATAATTTCCAACATTTTTTAAATATATTTTCTATATTAAAAACTCTACCTCTACTACCTATAACTACCTCGTTTGGGCGCCCAATGCCTAGCCTAAAGAGCTGCCTGAAAATTTTTAAAGCCAATGCTAAGATGCAATGGCATTTTTACCCATTACAAGGACATGTACACGAAGTCTTAAGAGATGCCCTTTCAAGTCTGCGACATTCTAAACTTAATACCGATTTTTTCTTCGAAACAACATTTTTGTGTCTGTCTCGGGAATTATTAAACGATTTGTTTATAATGCAAATGTTGTAATTAATTTAGTTGCTTTGTCTGCTTGCCAGGAGGCGTGTTTGCTAAGCTTAGAAAAATAATTTCAAAGGTAACAAATATGGACCACGTAAGTATATTTTTTCATGAAAACTAAGCCTTTGTTTAGCAAGAAATTCCAATTTTAATTTACATTAGGATAAAAATGGATAAAGGATAATGGAGATCTTTGCTAAATTTGAAGTATGTCAGTTCACCTACTAAGGTCCCCCCTTTTCATATCAGGGGCAAACAAGGCATTGTTAAGGGAAATAATGTAGCGTGTGTAATTGTTACTCTTGCTCGGCAATAACATTTTTCTTTGTCGAACGAGCAGTGGACTTGGAATTGAGAAAAAAAGAAAAGAATATTTGCCTCATTTGCGAACGCTATGTTACTTTAAAGCTTTAAATTGCGTTTAGCTTGAAGCAAACAATTTATCATTTTTTAGCAAACATCCTGAGTTATACTTTGCTGCTGCTACTAGTTTCTCCATGTTGTTAAATATCGCCAAAAAACAAAAAAAAAACAAAATTTTATTAAATTCAAAAATCGTTTCCTAGTAATTTTCTAACAATTTCCCTTACAGCTGGTGTACAAAGTACTGGAGGCGGTGGCGGTGGCGTTGTTGTTGGTGGTGGTGGTGGTGGCGGCGGTTTGGCAAAGCGACGTGTCGTCGTTGCCTTGTATGATTATAAATCACGTGATGAGTCTGATTTGAGTTTCATGAAGGGCGACCGTATGGAGGTCATTGACGATACCGAATCTGACTGGTGGCGTGTAGTTAATTTGAGTACGCGTCAAGAAGGTTTAATACCATTAAATTTTGTGGCGGAAGAACGGAGCGTTAACAGTGAGGAGTAAGTGGAAAATGAACATAAATTAGGGAAACAATGATAATAAGAAATTGTACGATATGTTTTCAATGTGATTTGTTGTTTTAGTTGGTTTTTTGAAAATGTGTTGCGCAAAGAAGCCGATAAATTGCTGCTGGCAGAGGAGAATCCGCGGGGAACGTTTTTGGTGCGACCATCCGAACACAATCCCAACGGTTATTCGCTGTCGGTGAAGGACTGGGAAGATGGTCGCGGTTATCACGTTAAACACTACCGTATTAAACCGCTGGACAATGGTGGCTATTATATAGCCACTAATCAAACCTTTCCCTCCCTGCAAGCTCTTGTCATGGCCTACAGCAGTAAGTATTGTATAGATTCATATAAATCATTAAATTATATGTTTAATAAGAATTTTTTTTTTTTCTTTTTTAAATAAAAAGAAAATGCTTTAGGACTTTGTCATATATTATCGAGGCCATGCCCTAAACCTCAACCACAAATGTGGGATTTGGGGCCGGAATTGCGTGATAAATACGAAATACCCCGTTCGGAACTTCAATTAATACGTAAATTAGGACGCGGCAACTTTGGTGAAGTGTATTACGGTAAATGGCGTAACAGTATCGATGTAGCTGTTAAAACCCTGCGCGAAGGCACTATGTCAACACAAGCGTTTCTGCAAGAGGCTGCTATTATGAAAAAGTTTCGTCACAATCGTTTAGTAGCACTCTATGCGGTTTGTTCACAGGTGTGCAAAATTTTCATTCTAACTTCTTCTCATTCATTATTTTTTTAAAATTTAAGAAAACTTCTTCGACCGTTCTCCTGAACATTCAAACTTATTTGTCAATTAGTTCTTCTTTCATTCTCTAACGCTGTCTATTTCTAGTCTTCTTCTTTATGTTTTATAAGATTTATTTTTTAAAACTTTAAATGAAACTCTCTCTATTCTTTTAATTTATGGAGTGGAGTTTGTTTAACTTCAAATGGGTCAAGGAGAGGAGAAAAGAGAAAAGAAAAAAGAAAAACAAAAAACAAAAAAGGGAAAAGAAAAAAACAAAAAACATTTTTTTTTTTTTTTACTTAAATAGAGAGAATTTTCCACTGATTTTTTTTTTTTTTTTTTTTTTTTTTTTCTTTTATATTTTAGGAGGAACCCATTTATATTGTACAGGAATACATGTCAAAAGGCAGTTTACTGGATTATTTGCGAGAAGGTGACGGTCGTTATTTGCATTTTGAAGATCTCATTTATATAGCCACCCAAGTTGCCTCAGGCATGGAATATTTAGAATCCAAGCAATTGATACATAGGGATCTGGCGGCCCGTAATGTCTTAATTGGTGAAAATAATGTAGCGAAAATATGTGATTTTGGCTTGGCGCGAGTCATAGCCGACGATGAATACTGCCCCAAACAAGGATCTAGATTTCCCGTTAAATGGACCGCACCTGAAGCTATTATTTATGGTAAATTCTCTATAAAATCGGATGTCTGGTCATACGGTATATTATTAATGGAATTATTTACGTACGGGCAAGTGCCATATCCGGGCATGCATAGTCGCGAAGTCATTGAAAATATTGAACGCGGTTTCCGCATGCCAAAGCCTACGAATCATTATTTCCCTGATAATATTTATCATTTGTTGCTGCAATGTTGGGATGCAGTGCCCGAGAAAAGGCCAACATTTGAATTTTTAAATCATTATTTTGAATCATATTCAGTAACGTCGGAGGTGCCCTACCGAGAGGTGCAAGATTAGAATTTATAGTTATTAGGTGTAATTAATATATTAAGATTTTAGTAGGTGTTGCTATCATTCTCTCCCTATATTCTTTTCATGTTTGTAAATCCCTTCCTCCTACCAGAAGAGCAAGTCCGCAAGTATTATCTTCTGGCTTATAATTGTTTTGTTTATTTTAAAAGAACTGAAATTTAATTTTTAAGTTTATTATATTATATATAAGACGATATTTTTTCCGTTTTTCAATGAGATAACAAAAAAGCAAAAGAAAGTCACAAAATGCCATTTTATTTACATATATACATATATATACAAGTATATATATATATATATATATATATATATATATATATATATATATATATGTATATATGTCCTCATACACAATATGAATAACAAAAAAATACGAGTACATATATCACTTATATATACCTACGTACATAAAATAAACTACAACATACAAAACATTGAATTGAAAGACATTCTTTTTATATATAACGATAAGATAAATAAATAAAAATAAATATATATTAAATAAAAATGAAATAAATAAGGAATAAAAAAAAAAAAAAAAAAAATGAAATGAAATTCGTTAAGAAAACCGAGCTGCTATTTAAGTTGTAGTTAAAAAAAAAAAATTATAATAATAATAAAAAACAAAAAGAAGAACAACCATCAAATTTGTAATGAATTAATTTATATCAAATTCAAATCCTGCTCATCTATAACGTTCACACAAACTGGAAAAAAAAAAAAAAAAAAAAAAATATGAAAAAACAATCAGCAATCGTGTCTCTCTCACATAATTCATACATTCACTCATTCTAACATTAAATTCGTCATCCATATATACATACATAACGAAATGTAAGTACATTTCTGACGGTATGTTTGTTTCGAAGATGCGTTATTATTATCATTATTAATTTGTATTTATCATAATTATTAATAATTAATTATTATTACATAAATAAGTTATTACATAGTGTATACATATATTAATGCGAATCTAATCTAAAAATCTTTAGCGGAAACACTTTATCTACATATATATACATACATATGTGTACATAAAGCAGAACATGTTGAAAGTGTTTATACATGCATACATTATTTATACATATTTACATATATACATACGTACATGATTACATGCATACATACACAATTTAAAAATTTAAAAATGGATTTAACGGTAAAATAAAATGCTGCTGATGAAAAATTTAATAATTGATGGATGATTCTAGAAACTAAATCTAAAATAATCGCTGGATCTTCTTCTTATTATTTTCCTTATTATTTTTATCATTATTATTATTATTATTATTATTTTAATGATTTTAATTATTTTAATTATTTTAATTATTATTATTGATATTATGAATTATATGAATTTTGTGAAAGTTAAAAATACATTTTTATATGTATGCATATTTTCAAATATGTATATTCAATTAACAGTTGTATATAGGCATGTGTAGTACGCAGCACTTGAACATATGATCTTACGAAAGATCAAATTTTCATTACTTTATCGAAATTATCGAAAATTAAGTTCAGACAGAGGCTTCTTGTTTGAAAAATAATTTTTTCAAAATTTCCAGTTTATATCGGTTAATAGCTGCGGTTTTTTAACTACGCCTCCAAGCATAGTGCTCCAAGGTAGTGCTCATCAAATACAGATAACCATTTCCCATATCGATGGCTTAGGATATTTGCAAATAATTTTTGAATTGAAAAATTTTTTTAATACTGTGAACTATCAAACTATGAACTTTAGTTCTTCAGACATTATGTTTATGAGCCGTTTTGAGTCAATTTAATAGATTGTCTTAACTACTGAGTACCATTATTAGTAGGAAATATCGTAAAGATAGGAGCAAACTCAATAAAAGAAAAGAAATCAAAAAAATCAAAATACTTTCAGCTCGAATACTAACTGCACTGGATGCATAAGAGATGCTTATGGAACATTTCACCAGGCCAATATAAATAGTTTGACCAAAAAGTAATCGCGATCGACTGATCGATGATTCGCTTGTACATTTTGATATCGATTGTGTGTAAATAAAGCGCAAAAAAAAAAAATAAAAAAACCAAATCGAACAAAGATAATTTTTTTCTTATATTTTCATATCCATACCGCGATCCGAGACCCGAGAACCTATAAATGCATGGGCATGGGCATGGGCATGGGCGCAAAACATGTATACGTACTATAAACACACGCATTACATTTCTGGCAAGTGAAAGTCGCAAAATACAATTTATGGCCTTCGGTCGGCACTCACTTACAGTTTTATCTTTTGCGTTTAGTTATTTGCAAAACAAATTCTCTAAGACGAGTCGTTTGTAATCAATTGATATCAGAAAAATTCGTTCTTCGTGGCATCTTTTTTCTATCAGATGTCAGATGGTTTTTCATGTAAACACTTGCGTTCACATTGCATTTATGAGTCATTTGATGATTTGCGCATCCATTCTAAATTTCGGTGGGGAATCGTAAAAAGACAATCTCGAAAATCTTTGCACAGCCATAACTTACTTATCTCTATCGATTGACATTTGAAAAACTGACAAGTATTGAATTTGAACGTTCTGAGCATTTAGTTACTTTAGCAAGTTGCATACAAGCAAAGTACATTTTCCGTTTATTGCGTTTTATGCAGTATGCATGACTATCGGTAAGTTTCAATATTTGCGAACTAATTCAACGGACCTGAGATAATCGTAATTCATCTTTTCTTAATTAACGAGCATTCAGCATTTATAGGACATATTTATGTTTACAATTAAGTGGACCAGTGACGACTCTTTACAAAAGTTGTATTCCTGGTTCGAGTTCGAGTCCTAAACGTTGAAACTCGAATTCGTTATTTGAAAATATAATTTTCAGAAATTCTTTTCGCTTTTCCATAGACTAGGACAACCAAAATGTATTGTAAGCGCGCGCAAGTAAATCGCTCTAGACCACATATAGTCCGATTTTTAAGAAGAAGGTGAAAAATACCTTTTTTTTTTTTAACTTTTTCACCAACGAGTCATCGTAAATGAACTTTTCATTTTTTTCGACTTCCTACAGATTGTATAATGCGAGTAGAAAGATCACTGCTTGACTGAATATTGCAAGTTGAGCGGTTAGAAAAAATCGAATCCCAAGCGCATCAAACGCAAGGGAAGAGGTTTATTTTCGGCATTTTTTTTATACATTTATGAATATTGCAAGCTTCTGATGCCTTTCTATTCAACTCTTTCGTCTTTGACAGGACCTATTGAAGAAGAAAAAAGCAGAATAAAATCAAATATGGATTTTTTTTATTTTTTTTTTTTTGGAAAAATTACTGAAACCGTTTTTAAGATTTACGAATATTTTTTTGTTTTTTTGGCCCGAAATATCAAAACAGCGTTTTTGATATTTTCGGTGGCATTAAAGCAAGCATTTGAAAAAAAAATGTGCCGTCTCTGTTAGTATGCAATCCACGTTTTAAATCAAAAAAACAATGAAATCATTGTTGAATGACGATTTGAAACAGTTGGTATAATCGGCGAGTCTTGCAAGGTTTAATTTCGGTTTTTATTCTCCTTTGATTTATTCATCGTCTTAGGCGATGATGGGTTAATTTATTTAATTTATTTGATTGATTGTTTCAATTGTCTCAAATTATTCTGTTAGCCAATGGTATTAACAATTCAGATAGGTTTAAATTATGGCCCTATCAAACGCAGAGACAGAGTGGCCTTCATTTAGGTTATGATTATGCGTAAAAAGTTTATGAATTTTGGATTTTTCATCATTCATTTAGTCCATCTGAGCATGTTTACAAAGTTTATATATGTATATATATATATATATACATGATTTTGGAGACTGATGCCAGTATAATAAACTAACACATGCATCATACTGAATATTTTTTCGATTTATGTAAATGTTAGAAAAAAAAAAAAAAAAAAAAAAAACAATTAATACTAAGAAGAAGAAAAAAAAAAAGTTAATAGTGAATGAAGAACTGTTTAGTGTTACGAGATAAGAAATTGAAAATTCAAAATGGTTTATTAAAATTTTCAAATATGTATGATAAACTCCAACTATGCTTTTTTGCTTACGCGAATATGAAAAACTTGATGTACAAAGATGGCTCAGATTTGGGCCTGAATTTGTGTTTTTACTTGTGTTTAGCGCTAGAGAGACTTTATAGATGGAAATTAAGTGAATGTGCAAGTTTTTTTATTATTAGTTATTGCATAGAAAAATTCAAATTATTACTAATTATAATAATAATTTAAACACCGTGCTAGGTAATGCGACGGAAGATTTCTACTGCACATTAAACGATATAATAAAACAAAGAAAAACACTATAGCGGTAAAAGGCCTACCATTATATACCCTATACTGTGTATCACTTAATACAATTATTCATATAACAACTTTTTGAAATAAAGATTTATATGGGAAGTTATCGAAACCGGTCCCAGCCATTTTCAATAGCCACTCGTTCTTGAGCTAAATTATGTCAGCGAATCTCAATAATTGAGACCTATTGGTTGAACACAATGATATAAGATGGACAAATGGATGGAGGGAAGCTTAGATTGATCACTTTCTGAATCGATCAGTGATCCTCCTACTTCGTGCATATCTTCGTACAAATTTAATATACCCTTATACCCATAAGTTCTATAGGATATTAAAATGAAATTTTAATGAATTCCATTTAATGATTCATTTTTCATGATTTTATTAAAAAAAAAGTGCTTTGGGTAAATTTTAAATAGAAAGGTAAATAGAGAGATTGAAAATCGAAACAACACAAATGCAGATCGGAACAAGTCTTATTTTGAGCGCTAAAACGTTTTAATCGAACTTGAAGCGATTCCTTGTGAACTTTAAATATTTAAAATTTTGTTTTTAATATTTTCCATATATATATATATATATTTATTAAATAATCATAATAAATTCTATACAAATATATTTGATGTTTGAATATACGATTTAAATAATTTTGTTTGTAAATTGATCTTTAAAACTTTTCAAAAATTATTTTTAAAACTATTTCAAAGAAAATAATGCAAATTAAAAAAAAGGAAAAAAAATTCGCTACTTTTTATTGAATATCTTAAAACTTCATCTTTTCTTTTAAGAGTCTTCAGATCATTTTGTTTTTTTACTTTAGAGATTTTCGAATATTTTCGAAATGAAAACTCAAAGGTAATCTTTTCATAAAAGGGTTCGCTTTTTAGAAAGTTAAAACAGGTTTTTTTTTTTCAAATCCAAATTTACGATGAGAAATTTTCAAGTGATTTAAAAATATTGTATTAAATATTCTTCGATCTCTGAAAGTTTCTCTCTATTGAAATTCATTTACAAATTCACCTTTCGAGAAAACGAAAACATCATTAAAAGAAGTTCGCAATTAATTATATTAATTAATATTACTAAATTTTCTGAAAATTCTGCTTTCCTAAATCAATTCTCAAAATCAATTTCGAGTGTTTGAGAGTATTCAAATATGTCTTTTAAAACTTGAAAAAATATATTCTTAAATAGCTTTACCTTAAAATGTTTAAGGCAGAGTTTTAAAAAAAAAAAAAAAAAAAAAAAACGAAATTTGTTATTTTAAGTTTATTACGTATAGTTCGTAATAATACAAAAAAATTTTTAAAGAAATTTTATTTTCATATAACTCGAACTAGAAAGTGTAGTAAAAGGGGAGGACATTGATTCGTTTGGACATTATGCGATTAGCTTCGTATTTGTTAGATTTTTTTTTTTCAAAAGTTTTTTGCGTAGAGCAAAGATTGATGATAACAGAGTCTATTGTCATGAGCTTTCTTCTCTCTGCTAAATGATTATGAAGCTTACGTAAAGCTTTCGATCATTTAATTAATACGATGGAAAACTTGAAAGCTGAGGAATTTCTTTAATCCGATTGAAAACTTATAAAAATTAAACTTTAAATAACATGATCATCGGCTTTTTTTGGTTTTTTAGTCTCGCGATTACGAACAAATTGCCTCACTTGCATCGCCATTCTTGCTAAATCATATCGAGTGCTCCTTAATTTCATACTATATCTATCGTCGCATATGTGCGTATGTTAATTTCTCAAAATGAAATTATTTTTAATAATGAAAAAAAATTAATTTAAATTCAATAAGAAAAAAAATAAATATGTAAAAAAAAACTAAATAAATAAAGGTAAAAACTGCAAGTGATAAATTTACTGAAAAATAATTATCATTCTTCATTATTCATTGTCTTCGCTTCGATAAAACGTCTTCATCTTCTTTTATTTATTATAGATTTAATGGGTTTTTATTTTTATTTTTTTTCTTCAATGAGCTTTTTTCATAATTTCATCATTCATTCATTTCTTGCAAAAAATAAAATATTTAAAGATCTCTAAATGCTTCCAAAATAAAAATTTATGAATAAGTTATAAAGATATCTTCCCGCATCTATTTAACACAAAGGTTTCAACAAATAATATCATGTCGTCTATCATCGAACATCTTAAAAAGGTACTGAAACACATCAATATATATTTTTCTGTAATCCATCTTTAATACCTTACATCACTGCTAATAAGAGACGTATTGCAGTATCAAAATGAGAAACGCAAAGAAAATCCAAATCGGAATCCGTATCCGAATCCGAATGTTATTAAACTAGTGAACGCAAGACAATATGGAAATGTTTGTAACCATTCGAATATCAGCCTATGTATGGTAGCAATGGATACATACTGAGACAGAACCCCCAGCGACCCCATTACTGGATATGCGCTCATAAGAATTAATTTACATATGCATGACCATTACATTTACCATGAAGAGATGATTTAGTTACTTATAGCTACGTATCCTATTCTCATCGAGCACAGGGTAACGTAAATTTAGTTTGTCATGAAATTAAAGCCTATATATACACAAAATATTGGTTCTACCTAATGAAATTGAAAGAAGAGAATGATAGAGAAGTTTAATGTTGTCTCTAACTTTGAATTAAACTTTTTCTTCTAAACCTTCATGACACTTGTTATACCGATCACCAAAAGATAAGGGATATACTCATTTTGACAAAACATTTGCACCGCCCAGAAGTCAGCTTCAGACACTCCGCAAAGTATACATTTAAGCATGTCTGTCTGTCCGTCCGTCCGAGTATTGCGTGTTGTAAACATTCTCTTGGTCGCAAAAACGAAGCTACCGAAGCTTAAAATTTGGTAATATAGAAAGTGGGCCAAATTGCTCGAAGGACACATCTGCAGCATTGTATATTAATAATAATAATAATAGTTTAGGTCACTGCCAAATTTTGCAAATCTTCATTTTTACGAACGGGAAAATGTTTACACAATTGCGCAGGCGCACAGATGGACAGACCAGCAGACGTTTCAAATTTGAAACAAGCCGATAACTTATATATACTTAATAAGGTTTTTGAAGCTTGTTTCGGCGCCTTAAAGTCCAAGTCTGAAAAGTGAAACCATCTCGAAAACATAACTGAATATTTTAATATGTTTGTTATCAGTTTTTTTTTTTTATCTAAATATATGGTTTACTTGAGTTTTCATACGGACAGAAATACTTACAGAGTCATTTGAATCTTCTCCCTTCGATTAGTTAACTAAATGTCTCCATATTTGGTTCAAATCAAATAAATAACAATAGAACTGATGAGAGGAAAGACTATGCACGCAAGATTAATATTTAATAAAAACATTTATAATTTACCAATGGCGTTGTAGATGGGTACAGAGGAGAATCGCGCGATATTTGGACTGAGTATATATGCGAATCAAATGTATTTGATAAGCGATAATTGAGACTAAGGATATTATGAATTGTATGTATGTATGTACGCAGTGATGAAGGGTACGAAACGGTGGTCGGTCGACATCGACTTAAATATTATTACATTATTTAATTGATTGATAAATTTTGGCAGAAATTTTTTCCATTTTGATTTTAAATAAATTTTCTTTTGTAATAGGGAACGTTTTAAAACACTTTATGCAAGATGCAAAATTGGAAAATCATATAGAATTTATGTAAAGAGGGAGGGGGACGGTGGTGGTGGTGGTGGTGGATGTGATTTAATGAACAAATAAAAATTAAAAATAAAATGGAAATAATATGAATATAATAAATTTCTCTTACGTTTACAAAAAAAAAAAAAAAAAAAAAAAAAAAAAAAAATTAAATAAATAAATAAAAATATATAAATAAATAAAAAAATAAAAATTTGCAAAACCGTAAAAAGTTCGCATATTCGAAATATTTTCTTTTTTCCAAATTTTTTTTTTTTCTCTTCCCTTTTTTGTTTTGTTTTTCAGCCATTTTGTCTCTTCTTTTCTCTCTACCTATTAATTATATGATTACGAGCATGTAGAAGGCCACATCATAGTTATATACACAGAAAATCATGTTAAATATTATATAAAATATTTAAAAATATTTATTAATAATGATAATATTAAACGAAAAACTATTTAGTATAGTTTTAATTGAGATATCGACAATTTTTTTGTACATATAATAATAAAAAAAAAAATAAAAAAATAAAAAATCGAAATAATTTTTAAACGTTAGCGAGAAACAAAATAAATTATATGAACTAAATAATACATTTGGAAAACAAAAAAAGAAAAAAAAAAAAAGAAAAAAAAAAAGAAAAGAAGATGATAAAAACGTATAAAATGAAAATCATTAACTTAGCAAAACCAGAACTTAAGTGTAATAAAGTATATAAAGAAAACTAAAGTAAACTTAAATACTATACTGAATGAACAAAAGAAAAAAAAAAGAGAAACAATTTCACACAGTTTTCTGTATTACAATTAAGACTTAATAGAGGTCTGGTAGGTATGTGCGGCTAAACTCAATCTTTTCCCGCTTTTTAAGCCAAAAATTTGCGAATCCCAGTTTCCATTCACCAATGTGCTTAGTTCAAGCATTCCATCTATCAAGCACTAACTTTATTATGTTGACTTTCCCGTTGAAGCATAATCTTTACAAAATTTATTTCGGATAATTCGGACGTAGTTGTTGATTTTAGAGTTACGCAGGTGAAGGGAAAAGAAATTTCTTATATATATTTTTTTTTTTTTTGAAGTTAAATTAAAGATGATGGTGGTTTAAACGGCTTAGTGGAGATGGGATGAAAATGCGAGGTCTCTCATAAAACATTATGGGCCAAAGGCGACGATAGATAGGGTAGTCTGTGGGATATCCCGGCGTATAAAGCTTTCTGTCCAGGCGTAACGGATTAAACGTAAAAAAAAGATTTCTTCCAAATTGAAAAAAATTGAAATCGGTATCGTCTTCATTTCAAATCAATTTTTTGGAAGAAATTCTTCAATGCTCTCTAAATTTCGAGACATCACTTCAGAAAATGTTTGTTTCGTTCCGAACTGAGATTTATAGATTGCCTTAATATAGAATTAATTACACGCCACCATCGTGCAAACAACAACGAAACAAAACAAAACACGAAATTGTTATAACTCATAATATTGTGATGCCGATCATCCACAAAATATATTTGGAAATCGGACCAAAAAAAAAAAAAAAAAAAACCCTGTTTCCAAGCTGTTGCAGTGTTGTCCCGGCGCCGCTATCTTTTTTTGGGCTTTCCATTTCCGGAACGATATTTGCTTTATACATTTTTATATTAATTTTTTCGGTTTTGCAGGCGAGTGTGCTACAAGTTATTGCTAAAATTAAAACTTGATCTATCTAAATAAACCGATTTGAAGTTTGCATTTAATATCGATAGAACTGCCTGGATACATAATGGTTGCAGAATTTATAAATTTTATAGATACATACCCTTTGATTTTAGAAAGGAATGAAGAAATTTTCGTCGGACCTTCTGCTATGCGTATGAAAATCGTGTATAAAAAATCTTTTGCAAAGGTATACTCGTTAGCCGCCTAAGGAAACCCTTAACTAAGCAAAATGTTTTTAAAAAATTTTCATAACAATTTCGAAATTTATTTAATTTTTCCGCTACTCAAGCGCGCTTTTAAATAAGTTAAACGTGATTTGTTACAACCGACTAAGAGAGCGTACTTGTAGAAGGTATATTCATTGCATTCTTCATTGCAAGCGGCTTAGAAGACACATTTTAAAGCTGTTTTATAACGATCGATCATTCAGTGTCAGGTAAAAAACCATATGTTTATCAACTCAAGCGTAGTGGATGGTAGTAGCAGTGAAGTTCAAAGCTTAAATATGAACAAAAAAAAAAGTTTTCTTTTCATAACTTTCATATAAAAAGGCGGCCTCATCGCTATTATGTTGTGCATATTTGTTTCATCAACGTTTTCAACAAAAGCTTATATCAAAATGCTTCCATTTAATTATAATATTTTGTTAAGTGCGGCGTTAATTTTATTTATGCAACATATTCTGGTTGAAACTATGAACAATGGGGAGGACGATTATTTTTCTGCAAGCCTTAGGGAAGCGCTAGAAGCACGTGATGGTCGATTAAAATATCTGGTGGATGTTACACCCGAGCATTTGGTGAAGGAAGGTCAAATGATCCCTGGCAGTTATCATCTTCCATGTAAGAGAATCTACGTACATAATAACTTAACTTAATGTAAGGACTTTTATTTTAATGTAATTGTCGATTAAAAGTTGAAGATCTGCCAACTGTCCTATCGATGAGTGAAGAAGATTTCGAATGGCAGTTTGAAGTGAAGAAACCATCGCGACTGAGTGATCTGATTTTCACATGTATTGATGGCAAACATGCAAAAGAGGCTGCCGAATGGGCAAGAAATTATGGCTGGAAAAAGTAAGCTATCGAATATACAATTTAATTATCTTCTCCTTAATTATATTGACTTTTATTATTAGCTCCAAAGCTTACATAGGACCTCGCGAGAATTTATATGAAGACATAAAACCAACGGAATGAATTATTATTCGGCGTACATATATTTCCACTTTGGCAATATTTTGTGCGAAACAATATTCATTATACGTGGAATGGTGCTTCGAAAGTTTTTCATATCATATTTAAGCAAATACTTTTGTACTTTTTAAACTTAATTGCCGTCGCAAGGGCTCTTCGCTGAAATATGTTCTGGCAAAGCTTCTTCAAACTATAATTATTTTTGTTGATACATTTAATACAATCAAATCAGTTAACACAATCGCTCTTAGACAGTTTCTCTCTGTTCTTTAATAAGCCGAACGAAGAAGCTAAAAATTTTAATGTTAGTTAGTTAGTTAGTTAGTTAATATAAATGAATGCCTATTTTCATATCTTGTTAACATCAATTTTTCAATAAAAAAAAAAAAAAAAAAAAAAAAAAAAAAAATGCATTGAATATTACTCTGAGCTCTCCGAGGATTATTTTAGGTATGACGTTTAACGTCTCAATCGTATGAATATTCTTCTTATTCTTCTTGCTTCATTCAAAATGCCAAAGCTATAAATTCTTGTAGTTTTGCCGGAATAATAAATTCTTTGAAGCGAGACAAATTACTGAACCGCCAAAAGAAGAAGAACGTGAAGAACGGAGAACGGCTGTTTTCCACGTGCTATGCGTGCTATGCTATCCAGTACGAGTCAGTGAGAATGCTGGAAAAGACGGGTAGTCCCCTTAAAAGTTTTAGTTAATGTATAAATCCCTTTGATCTTTGTGGAGTATTTGCCCTGCATGTACCTATAAGTAGAAACAACACACAGTCCACATTACGCCGATATCTAAGTAAATCGAGTGTTTTAGGCACATTCTCATCCGCCATGTGCATCGAAACCCCTTACTGTACATGGCAAACAGATTTAAAAATTCCTACAGACACATGCGAGTTGTACGTTGTAACCTTGATCGGCATTCGATGCAGTGCAGCATGTATAAAAAAAGTACGATTTTTTCTTCGATCTTCCCTGCGTTCAGAGCTCAGCTTTCATTATGAGCTATATAACACGGTTCAGCTGGTCACCAATAAGCGAGAATGTAAAGCTACTCCGAGAGTAATCAAGTGTTTGATTATTATTGATTTTACAAAACCAAACACCTTAAGCCAAAGTCAAGTGAAATGTTGTTGCTCTGTAGTTGTTTATATTAAGCATTCGAAAATGTTTCGAGAGTCATTGCGAGATATTTGTGTTTGTGAGTCCGATAGATCATTCAAACGGTTATGAACGAAAAATATATCTAGCATTATTGGCTTACTTTCCAAATTGGGTAACTCAATTAGCGTTAAGAGATTCCTATATGACGGAAGGACACACTACCCCAGCAGTAACAGCAGAAACTGTTCTTGTATGGTTTCAATTTGCTTACAGTAAAGCCAATATTGTGGATCCGAGATCCATATACAAGAATAGACCTTACGAACCATAGAGCAATGTAATCGTACAAGGATCACGAAATTCTTGTGCTCAATGCTTGATAAGGCTTAAAGTGCTCCTTACTTTATATACAACACGGATTTTATGTTTTTTATCAAAAAAGAACTCCGGCATCAGTAAGTGAGCCAGGATTTTTTTTTTTTTTTTTGATTATCATTATTTATTTTATAAATTGTTTTTAACGCATTGGTTGTAAAAATTGTCAAGGTCATCCTGAAAGTAGGCATGGGATCGACTATTATTCGGACTGTAGATAAGTTTAATGGCATCAGCAAAAATTAGCACGCGACGTTTGGTAAATCATTTGTAAGCCAGATAGATGAAACGATCTGTACCCGTTGAGTGCGTTAGGCTCGATAATAATATGTCCATTTTACGAAATGATTGTTGAAGCTTATGTCCTTCAATTCATTTAGACCGCATATATATCTAATGACCTTATCGACGGCCTTGCTGAAAGCACTATAAATTACAACTTGCGCTTTATTATTATGCATTTCCTTTCGCCGGGTTTTTTGGTTGCAGAGTTTAGAAATCTATTCGATCCGCATAGATTGCGTGCTGTGTTGCATAATTTGACATAGCATGTATCACATCGCTCAATAAGTCTTCGGTCCGACACACTGCTGACAGACTCATATGATTCCTGAATAGAATCAGCCTTCATATAAAATGTATCAAAACGCTTTAATCCTTAATCGACCCGTTGGTACTTTTGTTTGCACGTTTACTGTTCGTTCGGCTGATTGCTGATTTGACTTTAAAGTGAAAAACCTATTTTATTTCGTTTGAACGGCATCGAACAGTGCACTAAATCACCGATACGTTATTGGCGAAAGTGAATAAACACGGCGCCCTCCGGGACCACAGTTTTCCTATGCGCAAATCCTCATCCAAAATAGTAAGTACACTGCCTGGTGATGGTTTCGGGGCGACCAGCTGTTCCGCAACGTCAGCGTTGTTCATACGCCCTTGCTTACTATTACCGAAACAACAACTATCTTATCTTTGCGAGCAACGAGAAATCTCATAACATCCTTCAAATCAATTTTCCTCATCATTAATCAACAAACGAGATTTAGGTTTTCCATCCATGACAATGACGAAAGCAGCGTCACAAAAGCAACTGTTGCTTCCAAACTAATAGTGAGAATGTCATGAAGCTTTGACACGTTCCGTTTGAAGAGTGGTAATATCCAAAAACTGAATGAGCCTATGGGGTCAGCAGTGTCGGCATATCTGTGTCCGAAAGGAGACTTGTTGAGTGATGTATTATTTCATTGTGTAATGTTATATGTGTTGACAGTACCTCATAGGTAATTATAAAATCTGAAAAACAATAGCTTAGTGGGTCTTACTTACGCAGTTTGGTGTTCGTGCACGAATCCTTGATACAGATTAGATTAGATATAGGTTATCCTAGGATTCGAAATATGGCGGAATGGCTATTCTATGTTGATTATGGAGAATCTAAATATTGTTGAGAGCAAAAATGGATTAACAAAAATAATATAGGCTTACCTTAACGATAGAATGGTAATTTTTAATAAGCTCTTCATAGATTTTAATGAATTTTATTTAAATGTTGCTTAAAATTTTCAATTTTTTTTTTTTTTTTGTTCTTTTTTTTTTATTACATTTCCTTCTGATAGCTGATTATTATTATTATTTTACACACAATTACTTTGACATCAATTATGATAAATTTCAATATTTTTTTTTTTTTTTTTGATTTTCGGGTAAAATACATCAAAAATGTATACGTGAGTGTGTGTGTGTGTGTGTGTGTGTGTGTGGAATGTTTAATTTTTTTTTCTCCTTATAATATTTTTGTGCATCATACAATAGCTTTGCAGATGATTTTGATTTTGTTTTCAAAATTTTAATAATAAATAAATTACATTAAATTTTCTATATTTGTATTTCATCATCTTTTACATAATATAAAGTAAATTTGTATTTGTTTGGATAGTGTTTTTATTTTTTGATTTTGTATTTCGCCATTTCAAACTGGATTATCTTCATTTACATGTGATAAATTCGTTTTGATATTTATATTCATCGTTAGTATTATTTTTATACCCACCACTGCTTGTTGATGAATGGGGACGGGAGAGGGTGAGGGAAGGGGTATAAATGTACATAAATCTTAGAGATTTTATACACGTTCTTTCAAAAGCATAACATTCTATGTGTTTTGCAGCTTCGCAACTAAAAACAAAAAGAAAGCTGAAGAGATTAAGCACACTTTCTATTCTTAGCATACGTTACGTTGTGGTAACGTGAAGTAAGCCGCTTTTCTTATAAGTTTACAATAGCTGAACAACTAAAATAAATGACTCACGTACACGATGATAATAAGTAATTATTTCCGTCAGATAGTAAGCGTGTACTCGGTAAAAGTATTTTTTATAATGAGCCCGATTAGCCAATTGTCATAAATCAATTTTCATAAAACGGCTTTGGATGGGTGGTGGGTACTTGCTATCCGTCCTAGGGCGGATACTTGAATTTCTTTTGTTCTTTTTTTTTTTTATGGTTTTAAACATAATTAACTTTATGAATTTATTAATTTGCTTTTATTCTTTTTTTATAGTTAATTTATTTAGTTTTTGATTTTTTGACTTTTTTAAGGTAAATTCCAAAAAAAAAAAAAAAAAAAAAATTCTTTAAAAATACATTTGAAGTAATTTATTTACTATATGTATATATACACACACATGTATATATATATAGCCGTATGCCTAGGCGCACTGTTCATAGAATTAATTTGTTTAGACTTAATCACTCTGCACAGAAACCGAGTTTATGTATTTATTTTTATGTATTTATTTTTATTATTATTTATTTCTTAAGGGTTATGTTTCTTAGATAAGCAATTTTTTTTTTTTTTTTTTTTGCATATTCAGTTATGTGGACATTAGGGCACATTATTAAAGGAATCGTTCGTGTATAATAATATAAGATTTTCACAAAACCCCCCTTTAGATTTGTTATGGGATTTTATTGAAAATGCTTTCATATATATGTGTACATCTATATACGAACACGCATATATATATAAATAGAAAAAAAAAAACCAAAAAATTGTTATATTTCGCTTTTACTTATCGTTAAAGTTAATCTTATTTCAAATTGTGCGCAATAAAAATGCTTCTTAGTAACGGACATTTTCTATTCATTTATATTTTATTAAATAATGTATTCAACAAAATACAAAAAAAAGGTAAGCACTATTTCTAATAAAAACTTTTATTATTTCATATTGAAACTGATCAACTATCATAAGATATAGTATCGGACTATCAGCGAAACTTTAGCGAGAAAGAGAAAAAGTTTACTTCAATGGGGGAAAAAAATTAACAAAGAGATGTATGTGTTTATGTATTATATTTATATAAGATTACCCATGAGAATTTTATAAAAGTACTTTTCTCCATTCGCGAAGAAAAGCATATGAATTAATTAACTTTATCGATCTAATTAGCACTTGGCTATTAATTAGTCTTGTTGTTGTTATTGTTTTATTCGTAAACGGTATCGGTTTTAAAAAACTTCTAGACATCAGTTAACAATTGAACAACCGATTAGAATACGCTTAGTTATTTATGATTTCTGATAACAACCTATGTATATCCGAACCTACTTTCTCTCGCACTGAAACTATATCGCTAGCTTTGTCGAAGGAATGTAGAGACAATCGCCAAAGGATGCTGGGTTCCTTTGCCTAATATGCTTTGAAACTGTCCTTTATCTATATATATATATATATATATATTACTTGTAGAAGATGTCTGGATTAAGCAAGATCAAGTTGCTTAGATAACATCACTGTTCTTGCTGACAGAAATAGGTCGTAGAGCTTGTAACACATACATACATTGTCCCATGAGTGTAGTGAAACCGTCTTCGGATTCTCACTCTCATTCTCAGGCATCAAACTTTAAAAGTGTGCTGTCGAAATTCTATTGAATGAAATAATTATAGGTTGCCATGTTGCTTAGCAGTGAGCAATAGTTACAACGGGTATTGTAAACTTAGATTACTTCTTGTTCTTCAAACTAATTCGGAGAAATAAATGAGTTTTGCTTGCTTTTATAATAATACCAACCGGAGTTTAAGGCTTAACGATAGTCTTGCTAGGTTCATTATTCACCTTTATCACTAAAACTTAGCGTAAACATATGCTGAAATTCTGTACCTTGAATACTTGAACCACGTAAACCTTGTAGTAAAACGTGAAGAAACTGGTAGCACTAAGTCTCGAAACCTTCGAAACAATTTCATTGTCATATAAATATTTGTTTTATCTGTGGTGTTTGCTTAAATAGCAAAAGCGGCCCCAATTGCATTAGGAAACGTTTGGCAAGACATGACATCTCGCTATATCGGCTAAGGGGGATACATTTGCAAAATTAACTATACAAGTGTGCCATACCTTCATTTTGAATCTGTTAATAAACACTTAAGGCGTGGTCAAAATCCTATGCTAGTAAAGTGGAAAGATTTTGTTCACCAATTTTCTTCACTTTTTTTGAGGTTATGTAGTGACATTGGAGCTTTCATGTTTTAAATTGTGGAAATGTGTGATTCACTCAATCGCTTGATTATCGAAAAGCGTTCATCTAAATATAATATTTTCAGCAATTATCAGTCCCAACCGCTGGATAAAACTTACGTAACTTAACTATGAGTAATAAACCCAGGTATGGATTAAATGCATTAAAAAGTTGAAATTTTCGTTCGAATTTTTTGAAATCAAGTTCTTATCTTAAGTATTGACGGGTACTTCTTATTAGACGCCAAACGCGTCCATCTTTAAATTTTATTTATGTAATTTTTCGAAATACTTTGTCAATTTTTAAATTTCGATTTCATTATTTTAGACTTTATCGGATTAAGCTGATAGTTGCCGTCAACCGTACGTGCGGGTATACATAATCGAGCAGACAAACATAGGTAAATAACTTCAGATATATGCGAAATGAATTGACAAAAAAAAAAAAAAAAAAAAAAAAAAAGAAGTAAAAAGTGTTCATCTTACGATAGTTAAAACTGAAAATACTTGGACTAAACAAAAATTTTATAATAGATTTTGAGTAATGAAATTCATATATAAGAATGAATATAAAAAGTAGAGGAAAGTTTTTTCAATAATTTCACTTTAACGCTACGCTCTACATAGGTAAATCGTTACAGAGAGTTCCATATGATATAAACGTTTTATATATATTATATTTAATTTTTTTTTTTTTTAAATCTTTTTATAAACAGAACTTGTAAGTCTGCTTGCTCATCAGTGTAATTTGTTTACAAAAATTTCATAAAAATTCCTTTCATGTAGTGTCTGCATAGTTAGGTAAATATATTATAATATCTACGTGTACTTACTTATATTTAAAGGGCTTATCTAATGGGGAAAGCGGAATAATTGTCTTTTTATGCGGTAAACGCATCCAATCAATTCTTGTCTTGTAATAATCAATTCTGAATTGAATCTAACAAATACACATACTCGCATACACACACACACACACACATACATACATACATACATACATACATAGTAATAGACATATATTCAAACCCAAATACAAACAAACAAACACACACACACACACACACACACACACACACACATGCACGCGTATATGCAATCATAAGTATCAATTTCTTTATTTATAAGATCCTGTTTATATGTAAATTAATTTTGCACGCGGAAAAACATTAATTTCATGTAATTTCTTTTCTTTTGCGTCTATTCTCAGGTGTATGGCTAAGACATTTCTTATGTATTGAATATACATACATATATTTGATTACATTTACAATTCAATAAAAATTCTATATATATATATATATATATATATATATGTATATATATACATACGTATACATACAGATATATATATATAACTATAAATATCCATTAATAACAATATTATGGGAGAGATCGATTGCTAATAATAATATTTTCTGTTTTTTCTTTTTCATTTTCATTTTCTTCTTTCAGTATCTTTTGTCCATTTAATACAAAGGTAAAGTAATTAATGCAATATTCACACAGTTTTATAAGATTCTTTTTAATTTTTACAATTTTTTTTTTTTTTTTTTTTTTTTTTTTGCTGCTTTTTGATATTAAAGTTTGCTTCTCTTAAATTAGTTGCACGATTTACGTGCACGAGTGTGAGGTTATTTAACCCTTACATAGCCGTCGATTGTTGATGCTCTGATAAAGTTGCTACTGTTATAGAAGTTTCTTGCGTTTTAGGCGGTTGCTTAACATCCGAATATAACACTGTGGCAGACTTTGGCTGCTTTTGTTGTTGTCGTTTTTGTTGTTCTTGCTGTTTTCTCTGCTCTTCCTGCTGTTCATGCTTCTCCTGTTGAGCCATTGCCGCGGCAGCGGCTTTTGCATTCTTTTGTGTCTGAGCATCATTCGTTTTTAGAAAATACGTTATCAAGTCAATGGGCAAAGGAAATACTATAGTTGAGTTTTTTTCAGCCGAAATCGCACTCAAAGTCTGATATGAAATGAAACTTGTATTAATATTCTTTGCCTAAAACACTTTTATTCATCACATATATAAATGATGCGAGCATCTCTAATAAAGACTTTTCGAAAGTTTTAATTAAACCATTCATTCATTACCTTATAACGGAAATTAAATATAAATCTTAAATTAAGATATATATATTCGATCCGAAATTAAATTGCATTGACAACAAACTAAACTTTGTAATTGTTAAAGACCGAACAGCAAATACCATACGCTGCTTCCCCTTAATACAAATCTTCATTCATTCATTTTTTTTTTTTTTTTTTTTTTATCGTAAAATATCAAGACATATATCGGAAAACATGAACTGATTTGGGTAAATTCTTAAATTTATTTTTTCCATACGCGTGGCAGTTTACGACTGCGGCAGAGTAAATTTGTAAGTCACAGTCAGCTAAAAAGTCAGCTTTTTTTCCATTGCAAAAGTTCAAGACAAGAAGTTCAAAATTGCATAATCCTATCCAAATTTCTTACATCAACTTGCGAAGCAAAAATTTTGCATTATTATTTCTTACACTTTCTTCAAAAGAAGGCTTGTGAAAACGATACGATCCAAGTTATTTTCAATACGGGCCAAAGCATGGGTGTGTCTACCCCATGGTACCCGGTAGATATCTCGGACAGGTATGCGAGACGGTGCTCAAGAGGGTAAATTTATACTAATAAAAATGCTATTTTTCCAGGTTCGGCTTGATAGTGAAGATATCTGAAATTGTGTGAAAGACTACTGCTGATTGGTTATTCAAACAGGCGAACAGTACGACCAAAGGATAAGTAAGTCAAACACATCGGAGCAACAGACAAGCGGATATAACAAAAAGTGAAATAATCTCAAGTCATTCGCTGTGTGGCATACATCCCTACAAACTTAATATACGTTTATCATTTTTTCACATTACTTGTGTTGTTATATTCTTGCAACACGAATATTTGTAACCTATGCAAAGAGTATTGGATTTCATTTCGTTTTGCTTGTTAAAGCTAAACGCAATTATGGTCACGCCTTTGGATCAATTTAGCATTCGATGAGGAAAAATTCATAAACTATTTTACAAATTTCTATCTGCGGCAAAGACGTGGCACAACCCATGTATTCCTTGTGGTGCATAGGAAAATCTAAGTTTGGAAGACATTAAAGTTAAACGAGCCATCTAAACAGTAGAGCAAAATTTAGGCGTTTGTCTATACAAACGTAACAATTATCTTGTAGTCTATTCAAATCCTCATTATATTACTTGAAAGGTAAATGTTCAACTTTTAATTAGGCACCAGCAAGTGAAAGCATTCTATTACTATCGGCTAAGTCGACCTATGTCGTATTCCGCATTGTCGAACACAATTCGTACTTTTGCTATAGAACACAAAAATTATAGCTTCGTTTTCATATGAACTTATTATTATATTATGGAACTGGATATTAAATATTCGACTTCTTTGCAAATAAAATCTTACTTTCCATAAGAATAGTTGTGCCCAAGAGATTCAAAAATTATAGCCGAGCTATGCCCAACTATGGTGCAGTTCTTTTTGTTTAATCTCTAATTAATGTTATGATTTGCACGGACAGACGGACAGACAAGCTTCGATTGGAATAACAAACAAAAATGAGTATCTCTCAACCGCTTCAAGGTATTACATAAGTCCGCACAAACTTAATATGTCCTATGTACGAGAAGTGGTGTAGGATAGAAAAAACAGAATTCTTTTACATATCATTTCGTTCAAAGAAGCTAAGGTACATAGACATCGAACTTAAAGCCGGATTGATGAGATAAAATATAAACTTACTTTAATAGTTTTTCTTATATTCGAAGGCATTTGAGCAAATTTATTGCATAGATAATGTACTGTTACTACTAAGAGATAGTTGAAATTGTAGCGACGGTACAAATACCTGTAAATATCTTAATTGGAGAGCAGCCGGTGAATCACCTATAACTTCAGATGCTTCTCTTAGAGCCCGTGAAGCTTTCTGTTCACCCTCGGCAGCGATAACTTTGGCTCTAGCCTCGCGGGCGGCTTCAGCTTCCGCAGCCATGGCGCGTTGTAATTGTACCGGTAAACGCACATCCTTTCTATAAATATATATATATATATATATGTACAACAATAATTATCAAAATTAAATGCGTTGATTTTCAAATATTTGAAACTTACATCTCTACACGTTCTACTTTAATGCCCCATGCATCAGTTGCTTCATCCAATTGTAGCTAATGAATTGTAGTAATTGAGTTGAAAGTTTTGAAAAATATAATTTTTAAAGGAAAACAAGTCGAAAATGTTGAACAAAAAACATTTGAAACGCATCGATGTTTTTTTGTTCTTTTTTTTCTTTTTTATGAATTTCAGCCCGCTACGGCTTAGATTGGTACAAAATTTGTAAATATTTATTGCATTTTTTTTTTTTTTTTTTTTTTGTCTGAGTCTGAGAGACTGGGAGCGTGAGAGTTGCGTTCAACTACTTTGTTTCGCTTGAAACTAAGCAGTGAGTTGTATGAAGTCGACTGCAAAAAGTAGTCTCTCTTAACTTTGACAATTATATACTGAATTATCAATGGATAGGCGAAAATTAATGACAATTCAATAGATACGCCATGGCATTTGCCTTGGTGTCTTGATAAGATAAGGCAAAGAAATTCGAATTTTATTATTAGAAATCCTAGGACCGAAAGCGCACGAAAGGGCACTAGCAATTAAGGCAAAATTTGTACAGCATAAAACGCCTTCTATAGCTTTAAGCTAAGACTAAGAGAGATATGATTGTGTTTGAGGAGAATTCTGCTCAAGCTTTAAACCCTTTTTCCCGTAATACAGTGAATTAATTAAAATTGTTTTTAATGAAAAGTCACTGTATTATCGAATAAATCAATGATTTCCTTATCTTTTTTTTTTTTTTTTTTTCTTTTGTTTAAGATAATGAGTGATTAAAAGTTTTTACAATTTTTACAAACTTTTACATAAATATGCAATTATTACAATAACTTCGATAAGGAGAACATGGAGCATGGATCGAGCAGTATATACCAGCCTATCATATCATATCGTATCATTTTTAATAATAGTTTGAATGAATGGCTTGCGTGAAATTATGAAAAGTTGCAAACATTTTTGCAATTTCTCATAGCATTCGCTCTCACCTATCGCCCGTGCTTGCTTTGCTACCTACCGTTAAGCAAATTAATGTAAAAGGAAATAAAAAGGAATCTCAGGTATTCTGTGAAATGCCATAAATTTAATTCCATTCAATTCATTAACTTTTATACAACAGCGTGCATACGCGCCTTTCCGATTCATTCGCTTTATACGCGCTTGATATTTTAAACTAAAGTTAAAACAAAAAAAAAAAAAGAAAAACCGGGAAAAAAACGGAAAAAAAAAATGCATAAAAACTCAGATCATGAAAATAACGATAGTTTGCCCAAATTGATGAACATACACACATATATAAGAATTTAAAAAAAAAAAAAAAGCGCAAGAAAAGTAGAAAATATCACATCACGCTGAGGAAGTGTTGCTAGTGACGATGGCGATGGTTATCGTACATTTACAAATGTGCAGTATTGCTATAAGTGTGTGTTTTGTGAATTTTTTGTACCTGTAGACATTCGCTTACCTGCATTGTACCCGATATGGAGACACGTTCGCTGAGTATCTCATGCAAATGCCGAGTTCCCATTGTGTTTCGTAGAGTAGTCTGTGCCAATAGTCTTGTCGAATGATGAGCATTCTCCACGTTCGCTATAGAAACTGTCGCATTCGAAACGCGATAGTAAACCACTGCATCCACCGATACTGTCACACTATCCTTTGTTAAAACCTACAAAGTGCAGTGGATAGTTTTTGTTTTTGGTTTCGTTTCGTTTTAATTTTTTTTTTTTTTATTCTTTTTGCATTTTCTTTGCATTTCATTTCATTTGAATTCATTTTATTTTATTTATTTGTTTGCATATAATAACTTTTGGCCCCTTTTTTACTTTCATTCTTTTTACATATGTATGTATGTCTGGCGGTAATATCTTTTTAAAAATTTTTTTCGCTTTTTTTTTCGTTTTCTTATTTATTTATTTACTTTACTTTTTTGTTGCATTCCTCTGTAAAGATGGCCTTAATCTGATTTCTTTCTACATATTTGTATATAATTCTATGATTATTTGAATTGGTTGCTGTTTTTATATATACTTTACATTCAATTCATTCCGTTCTTTAGGGAATGCTCAGATTTTTCTTCATTTTTTTCGGTTGATTTTTTCTTCTTTTTTTTTCATATTTTATTTGTACAATTTTCGCTGGGTGGTTTAGATGATGGAATGCACTAAACTCTGTTAAAGGTTTCATAGTGCATTTATATCGGTCTTGTTGTTGGTTTTTTCTTTTTTTTTTTTTTTTTTTCTCTCTGAGGTTTTTCTACTACTTTTTACTTTGATTTTAAAATATATGTATAAACCACAAAATGCAGAATTCTCTCATACATACATACATACATATACAAAATGTACAAAATTTTATGCATAAATACATTGAAGTTTGAAGAAACTTCATATTATTAGACTTTCAGATATTATTTGCTCTGTTAGATGTGGCAGATGTCAATTCTAGAATGGTGCCTATTGGGAAGGAGGGTGATTTCGGCCAACTGTGCTATAGCGATACGTGGAGGCAAAAACTCTAGAGTTTTTAAATTACAGTGTATTTTTTTTTTTTCAGTTTCAGTTTTATTTTTAGTTTTTTTATTTTTTTTTTATTTTTATTTTACTACATTCCCTCTCATTAAGCTACAAGGCAAACTAGTACAGTAGTCCCTTGTGTGTACATTGATCTAAAAGATTTTTCCACACTCTCTATACGTACGAGTACATCTGTTATTAAATTAAAAAGTTTCCTTCAAAAAGTTTATATTATAAATTGATTTTGCGTTAAAGTTTTCCTTTTTGTTGTTATTTTTAAAAAAAAAAAAAAAAAAAAAAAAAAGAAATGCTCTAAAGAATTATGATGACCTAAATACTCAGGGCATGATAAGTCACTTTAACACACTGGCCATTGTGTACATTGTTATCAAGATGTTAGCTTTGAAAGGACAGCACCCTTGGCAACTAAATGATTTGTTTTCTCTCCTTTGTTTAGCTTAATATAAAATATTTTCTAATACATCGTCTTTACTGATTTTCTTTTTAATGATTTGATTGATATAACTGTTAATGATTTCTAAGGCATTTTTAAAATCTTTTATTTGTCAGTTATGGTTATTGCTATTGTTTTAACGAAATATGACTTGTTAGACAGTTTGATTAAATCTCTTTGCCACAAAAAAAGTCATTGCAGAGAAGAGTTTTCTTAAGTCTTTTAAAAGCACAGCGCATCAATGAATACCCTACATCATTTCGCTGAACCCGCTTATACATATAAAGACTTTTCAAAATAAAAAGTGTTTTATAGGACAACTGATCTAGAAAACGTTTTGATTCGAGGCATTTTAAATAGCGTTCATAGCGTGCAAAATATATTGAAAATTATGACCCAGAGATGGGACACAAATATGCAAGATGAACAGAGGGACAAATAAGGTTAAATCGATTCAGAAAATGTGTTATAAATCGATCGGTATGCTAACAGGTCAGGTTTTGCACACATTGGCGAAAACTTAATATACAACAAGTGCTGTAGGTTATCAATATCGGATAAACTAATTCCAATCTGGTCATCGTCATTGTAACACTTGTGTCGTATTTTCACACAATGTTATATTATTTAAGTCGCATTAACAGTTCGCTATACCACTGGTTAAGTTAAAGACATACAAGATTTTTATGTTATTCACAAACATCGAGGACTTTGATGATTTGACCTAAGTGCGAAGATTGTTTAAAAATATGGTGAAGAGAAAAGAAGCCGGACGCCTCTTCTGAGGAATAAGAAAGAGTTTAAGCGACGTGTTTTGAGTGCGCGCATTGTAGGATACGCGCTCGACAATACAAGACCGTTAGGTTTCAATTTAAGAAATAAAACACTATGATCAACTTTGTCAAAAGCTTTGAAAATAAATGGCATTTATTGTTTGCTTGCTGCTCCATGCCAGAAGGCATGAAAAATATCCCCAATCAACTTCAAGAGAGCTAAATTTCCTATAATGCAAATGCGTTCGAGTTACCAGCCAATTAAAGAACTTAAACCTCACTTTACTATATCTTTGTAATTTTTCTAATCTCATCTGTTTGTCAATTTTTGTAAAGTGAGATAATGAAAGTCTACTTTCAGGTTGAAGAAATATACCTTAACCGCATATGTGCGAATAATATAAGAAGGTAACCTACCAGGGCCATCATAAATAATAGACTTGAGGAAAGGCAATCAATCATCCAATAAGTTTTAACAATTTGTTACGATCACTGTTAATATATAATTTTTCGTTTACTCAAAATAATTTCTGTAGCACAGGTTTTCGCGTGTTAAGTTAAGTTAAAGTTCCGCTTGACGTTGGAATGACGGACCACTGTGTTTAAATTTTTTATGTAGTCTACTTGGTTCTATCAAAGAGTATCGTCCAGTGGTTGTTAAATAGTAGTAGTAGGAATTGATACGGAAATCGCTAACAATGCCTTATCAATTTCATTGTAATAAAAGTTCCCGAGCACAACACCAAGCAGATCTTTAAACATATAGTAAATTGTTTTCTCGAATCCAAGAGTAGAGGCGTATTAAGGCTGTCATTTAACCAATTGTGGAATGCTGTACATCCTCCGAACGAATGAAGGTTCGCTACGGAGAAGACTACACAATTTTATAATTTGAAAATATAGGCTTTCCAAGTTATTAACATTTGCTGTAGCATTCGATTGTAACAAATAGTGCACAAGCAGCTGCAGGATACGAGGAGTAAGGAGTGAACAATAATGAAAGTACTTTTTTTGTTCAAGTTACTTGAGAAAAGAGTTGTGACTGAAATCATTCTATCATTCAGCTATATGTAGGCCACTGTAAGGAATCAAACTATGAACATTTCTTTGCCGCCTCTATTTTTATGGATGTTTTTGGTAACTTAAAAAAAAAAACAAAAAAAAGTATTTTTCCTATTACTGGAATGGGATTAGTTCTGAAATTTAATAAACTAGTTGTTGATTCAATTTAAAATAATGCTACCATATCCTAATGTGTGTCATTAGATCAGCTTACGTACACGATTATGAACTTTGTGTTCAACATGCATTTACTTATTCGTCCACTTTGGTCTTAGGCAAACTTAAAATGCCAAGATTTTCGCCATTTTCAGTTTAATAAGTGAAATCTGTCTACCATCTGTCTAGCCGTCTACTTATTTGTAATGTTCTCTACTCGTCCATCTCTTCGCTTGTACGTCGATCTAACAAAGTTTCTCTAAATATTCCCAATTGATTTCTGCAAATCAATCCTGAATTTGTTAAAAGAAAGGCTAAGCGCTTAAGCGCTGAATTCATATTAGAATTGAGTAGATTCTGCATACCAATGCCCCTAGGGTGTAGAGGTATATCAAGTATATCAAAAATCTCATAGTTTTCCGTTAATAGTAGATTTCTTAGACCGAATAGGAAATCATAGATTGTTCGCGAAAATACATTTTAAACCTCTGTACGATCGTAACTGATCTCATCCCTTTTCGAGTTTCATCTGAAGAATTTTACCGGAAAACCTACATGAAATCTATTTTGTTATTCTGTGTATTCCGCTTGAAGTTTAACGCTACATGTTTTATAATATGAGCTCTAGCTGTGTGTGTGTGTAAATACTAAAAATTTATAAAAATCAAGCTTTCGGCTAATTACATGAGCGAACAGGTCGATCATACAAAAATATTCTATATCCTGAATAAATGTTCCTAGAGAAGAAGACAACATTTTATATATCCCTCTGGTTTTTTGTTGTCGACACATTCACAGATGATAATCGCAATCACGCTTTTTTAATATGATCTATAAAAATAAACGAAGTCTATAAGTTTTAAGTTTCGACTTTTTATCGTAACTTTTGAGATATAAATAAAGATACAGACAACTCTCAGCTGAATGGAATGACTCTTGTATATAGAAATATTAACTAATCGATGAATTATATATAGACTGCTTTTTGCAAATATTTACCGAAGAATAAAACTAATATACTTTGATGCTAGTCGGCGTTGCCGTGATGGTTACATGTACGACTCTCGGCTTAAGTAGATGGTTAGCTCTCATCTTATATCAATCAATATATAATTTCAATGCAATACGATCGTAATAGAAAATATGTAATTGTTTCTATTAGAAATCATATTTCTCAACTTTTAAGTAAAATATTTTTTAATTAAAGAGTTTATGCGTTTTGCTTATGTTCAACAAAATGGACGACAACGTGTAAATGTAAAGAGAAAGGGATTGATTCGTTTCACGAAATTTGCACCTTTTCAAACAATAATTTTTACAGTATATAAGCTATTAAGTGTTAACTTGAAGCGTTTACGGTGCAGAGGTTCTCAAATCGGCGCCGTTAACGAAACCTCAGCTATTTCCGGCAAGACAAATGCTTGCTGCTTACTATCGCACACTCTATGATACGTTTCAGAGTTTCCTTCAACGGATCAAGTGTCATATATATATATATATATATATATAAAGTAATGAAAGTTGCTTTTGTTATTTGAATAACAAGCAATCTTAGCATGAGTAAAAAGAATATCTTGTACTAATAAACGTGCTGGTGGCCTCGTCTAACAGCTACATTTGTCATATTGCATTGTCTTAATAATGGATTGTGTCGACTTATAGAGCATAGAGCAAGATTTTCTTCGCTTAGCAATTATTTCAAAACGGT